TTTTCAAAACGTAGTGATCCTTAAAATACAACAGATGGTGACTTAAGTGTCATTTTCATAAAAAATGAACAAAAACCCTTCTTCCCCTTTGATATTTAAATGGTATCCATTTTTTAATATTTAATTTTTCTGAGAAGTTAAAGAAAATAAACACTGAGCAGTGAATGTATCATATAAGGCTACTTGAATTCAAGTAAAAAAGTTAGCATCATCGAATTTTTATATTGTATCAATAAAGGGAATCTACACGTACCAAATTACATTAAAAAAAAATCTCAGTTTTAATCCCTTGCGCTATTTTTATGAGTCTGACTCGTGATTAAAGTTTTAGGCCGAACTTGAACATCACGAGTCAGGCTCGTTGTTTAATTTCATGTCAAATGTGAATATCACGAGTATGGCTCGTAATCGACATTTCGAGCCAAACATGAATATTACGAGCCGTGCTCGTGATTTTAATCTCGGGCTAAACAAGAACGTCTGAATGGGCTTTTATCTCTTCTTTATATGAATAGGTATTTTATATTTTGTCTCTTAATCCCTTATCCTCTGTCTCTCTCTCTCTCTTGTCTTAGGATCTTTTCGCGAGCATTCGGGTGCATTCGTTAGGCATTACTCGGTCCGAATTTCACCGTAGTGCAAGGGGTTAAAAAAAATGTCCAATAGTCAGTAATGTCAGTTTTAACAAAAATTTATTATCAGTCTGAGAATTAAAACAGCAACACCAAATTAAACTCTTCAGATAAATATATTATACCAATCTTATAGACTATAAACACTCAGAACTAAATGAACATAAAAGTTTTGTATGCATAAAAGGGTTTCTGTCCTGTTTACTATTTTTTGAAATACCTCTACACTTCTAAGTGAAAACTCAAAAGTTATGTTAAAAGTAATGCACCGTGTTTAAATTTTAATTTGACAACTTTACATTAATTAGAGTTACTAAAATATTTTAAATCTATCGATAATTCCTTTTTTCATACAATTAATAATTTCCGAAGTTTGTGGAATCTGTAGAATCCTTAACAGGTCGTAGTACGTCTCCTCGCTGTAAATTATCCACATACATTTTTAGAATGGCAGCGAAAACTAAGAAAAATAAACTGGCTCTCTCAAAGATATTACCTATACTGAGATTTCTGAAGTCATTAGGGATCTCGAGATTTCTTTTCAACTTGAAATTCCTTTAATTTTGAAATCGTCCAGTAATTGTTCGAACGTGAACAATATATTAAAAACCTTCCTTCTTTGATCCAGAATTTCCGCTCAGATCTTCAAAATCTTCTGTTCCAAAACAAGCCAAGTGTGAAATTCTTCAGTAAACCATGAAAAGGAGCTGAATTGATGACAAGAAAACTCAGTGGACTTTTTGACTTTATCTGCCATTTCTTTTTGACAAGATGAAAATAAGAAGAATTCTTAAAAATGCCTTTGACTTAATGTTTTTCAATTAAACTTCGTATGCTGTCTCACGATATTTTTTTTTAAATGTAGTTAAAAATAGAAGGCTATCAACATTTTTAAGATCTGTTTAATTAATGTGACTTTAAAAAAATATTTGTGAATGAATGTTTTCGACATTAAATGTTCGATAGAAAAGTAAATATCGGGTTTTGATGCAAGTATGCTCGAGTATTAATTCTTTTAAAATAATACTTTTTCGGATCTAATTATTTTAGTTTGTGAAATCAACTGAAAAATTATTGAACAAAATGCTGTCAGAAAACTTTTTTTCGTAAAAAAATTAAATTATGAAATGTACTGAAATATAAGAAAAAACCCTAAAATTATAGGAGATTGCTATAAATCAATTTTCATATAATTTTATTCGCTTGAATAATTACTGAATACAAATTAAATAAGAAATAATTAAAGGAAAAAGACGTAATTCATCGTTTCCTTTAATTGATTTTTTAATTTAAAAAATTTAAGTGTTTCACTACTAAATAATCTTTCAATATTTTTCTATGTTATATTATAAAAAATAATAAGCGCAATCAAATGATAATCCAATACAAAAGAAATTGCTAAAAGCAATAATACACACATCCCACATAGAAATGAGAAGATCAATGGACAATGAATAATAAGCGGATCCTTTTAACAGTTTAGTTTTTTCCTTAAATATTTGCCTCAGTTTTTGTTGATATTCAAAGTCAGGAAAGAGATCAACAAGTTCTGTTACGCAACGAACATTGGTTGATTCTCTGTGAGAGAGAAGGAAAAATAGTTTTCAAAATTAGCAATTGCTTAGAATTGAAGCAAAGTTAGGGCAATTATTTACATTTTGGCTATAAGTTCAGTTAACAAGCTTCAACTATGATCAAGCTTCAACTAACTTCGCTATGTCATAAAACGACAAGATGACTGACTGTTCATTTCGCTCTTTTAGAAAGACGTAGGTTGCTGGCCGATCCATTTTCTAAGCTACTCTGGCCCTTTACGGTCCAAATAGAACTGAACGTCATGCTTACGGTTAATTTTGTCGTTTGGTCTGAACTTAAAAGGATGGCTATCGTCTCTTCGTGATACTACGCTATAAAAACGCATTCTTTTTCGTGGTCCTTCTGCTAAACATTCATCTGGTTTCCGGATTAGCATCTCTCAATATAGATAGATAGACTTAGAGGTTGGGCAGCTGTGACGAGCAGGGCACATCGACCAGAGGTCTATTGTACCCAAACCCTAGTCGTGATTAGCAAGAAAGTCCTATAGCTGAAATAAAATTCAGCAAGCACCTTACAGGAACATCTTGCAGTTCCCAGACATTGACGCAATGCTGCCTTAAATGCTCAAATCTTTGAGCAGAATAGACATCACAATTACAAAGTATGCGTAAAGTATGCTTACAAAGTATGTCTCTTCTTCTAGATGACAACCCCGACAAAGAGAATTGGATTCTATTCCCATAATGTGTAGGTGTCTCCTGAGGATACAGTGACCAGTAAGAAGACCTATGATCTTCCTTATACTGTTTCTATTAAGCTTTAAGAGCTCCTTTTGACGTAGACTAGGACAGTCTCGATTCAGCTCCTTGGCTTGCCAGCAGCGCGCCATTACTCGTGGGCAATCTTGCCGTAGAGCTTGAAAATGGTTGCCCTAAATGAGGAGGGAGAAATTCCTAGGGCAGGTTCAGGGCCCCAGAAAATTGCATTAGAGCCAGCCCGTGCTGTATCTCTCAATATACTCATCACTCAATAACATCTAGAATGATGACTCAACGGGCCCGTCTCTGACATGAGTTTTCTAGCAGTGATGCACAGGTTTGGGTCGGAAATTTGAATCCATAAAATAAGGTGTGGCATTCGGAGAAAGTACGTTTTTGTACCCGATTTCGCAACTTATAGCATCGTCTGTACTAATTAATTAACACATTTGAGGTCAACCATCCAATCCTAAGGATTGAGTCATAGAACGTGAGGATTCGATCATTAGATCAAAAGTTATTCAGGGTGGTCCTTTTTCTTGGAGCACTGTACATTACACAGCATCAGCTTTTTAGGAACGAAGTGAAACTTCTTGAGTCATTGGAATGGAGTTGGTCCATGGCAACCCATGATTTGCTTTTTACACTTTAGATAATGTAATGAATAAAGTTTTCACCCTTTTTCTAATTTTTAGAAGGGAGAATAAGTGTTTTCACATGAAAAACTCATTTGCAACTTTTTGTCATATTTCAGATCAATCGTCTTGGAAAGCACTTTTTGAATTTTGATTTAAACTTTAGGTCTTACTAGTATTAGATGTAGGAACGGAATGGTTTACAATTTTATACGTTCGTTGACACTTGTCTTTATGTTATGAGAGTACAGCTATAATTGAGCTAAAAGAAATAAATGGAAAGTTTTTGTTATATTTGAGACCAATCATCTAGGATACCACTTTTTGAATCATTATCATTTAAACCTTTGTTACTAATATTAGTTATAGGAATGAAGTGGATTTGTAGTTTTATACGCTAGGGTTGACTCTCGACTTTGAGTGCACGGCTATAATTGCATGAAAAGAATGACACGTGTGTTTCAAAACTTCAAAATTTTAAGTTTAACTTTTACTTGCACTATAAAATTAATATAGACGTAATTACAGTAAAATGGAAAAGATGATCAGTTAAGCTGTATATTTTTATTTCTGTTTTTGATAAACTCGCAAAATACTTGACATTGTAGAGATAAATATTCATAAAAAAAACTATATTCATCCATTATTATTGTTATTTAAAATGGGTGAGAACTTTAAAGTCTGTGGCGCTTATTTTATTTTGTTTAAAATTCCATTATATTTAAAAAATGTTATTTTCTATTATGAAACAAAATTGGTTCGGGTTCGTCCTTCTCTTGATCGCGTTTTTAACTTCTCATGGATGTATTTGTAGAAATGTGCAGCATTTGTTACTATATTTGGTTTGGTATTACTATAGTTTGTTATTTATGAATGTAACTTTTTCTAGAACTCATTCATTATTTTTGCTTTGTATTATGATAATAATCTCTTTTTATTATAATAATAATCGTAATTATGATAATAATCTCATTTTTTAATTAAAAATAAACATTTACAGAAAGATTTCTTTTCAAATCTTATATTATTAAATTATTTTTTACTTTTAAATTCTTCATTTTAGTTTAGCTAAACGTATTGTTAAAATTATATTTATTTAATCATCAGCTTAAATAAGAGGCATCAAAAACCAATACATAACTCTTTGATAAAGCTTTAATTCACTGAAAGTTAGAACAGTTCTAATGTTTTAAAATTATGAAAACAGGAGTTTTTAGATGTATTTCATTTTCATAGTCAGTGTTATAAAATTTCTAAACTGCGCACCCGAACATTCTAGTGCCATTAAATGGCTGAATGTTTTCAGAAAAGAATTTACTTTGATGAAATATTTCAATGAATTTTTAAAATGAAGTTTAAAATTGCGAGTCAATATAGTATATCAATCTTAATTAGATATTTGAAGGATAATAAATAAAAATTTAACTGTAACTCACCAAGAAAACCATCCAGAATACCAAAGGGCATAACCGCAACACATACTAATAAATCCGCCACAGCTAGGGATAACAAAAAATAATTCGTCACATTCTGAAGCCTTTTTTCCAAGCAAATGGCCAGGCACACAAGAACGTTGCCCAGGCCACCTGCCACAACTAAAGCTGTCAGGAAAAGGAAGGGCCAATTTCTTCCATCCGGGGGTAAGCCAACAATATTTGGATTGAGAGTATCGTTATTAGCCACACATGCTGAATGATAACAAGTTAGATTTGAATCATATCCTTCTCTCCAGAACTCCGCTGTGATGTTGATGTCTAAGAAATTGAGTTGGCTGTCAAAAGACTCTGGATCATCTTCAGACGTGTTATTGGTTGTGAAAATCGTTATATCCAAAGGTTGAAAAGCAATATCCACCGGATCGTTTTTAGAGTTGAGAGAAGGCCAATCGTTCTGTTTGTATTGGAATGTTCTGGTTTTCTGATGTGTGAATATTCCAGAGATGATGGAAGGGGGGACCTCTCCACCGAAGTACATTTCTCTTTTGACTAAAGATGGTTGTTGATATCATAGAACCTTAGAAGCGGGAATCTGTGAAGCATGGCTGGTGGACACTTCAGCTTGCGTGCAAAACGTTGTCGTTGGGTTTCATATTACCTGAGAAAGAAAGAATCAAATGCATCAAAAGTATGTTGTTATTAATTCTCAAAATAGTCGTAGATATTAGTAAGTCTATAACTTGAAAAAGAGGAGCTGTTCAGAGAGAAATTTGTCCAATAAAAGAGCTAGACATTTTGAATAATGCATAAGTGATGACTGTGTCTGAGCAGTTATATTTTTGGGCACGCTCTAAAAACATTGAAGTCTACAGTAATCCTCAAGTCTACAGTAATAAAATAAGGCATTATATTTTTCTGCAATAAAGATATGCTCCTAGAATGTTTTTTTTTACATGAAAATAATATTTTACATCTAATTGTGTCAGAAAATATGGTCTATTCTGTTCAAATCAAAAATCGATAACTCAATCTGATGATTAAATAGCTTAAGATTATAGGTCGGAAATTTTAAAAAATTGGTTATTTGCAATTTTACATTATTTTGACAAAAAAATCAAAATCTACTAAAATTCTTTCATTTTTTTGCATACAAATTAAGCAATATTGGAGGCATTTATTTTAAAACAACGATAAGCAGTAGATGTGAATAAGGAAAGAAAAAGAAATAGAGAATATGTCTCTCAAAGATTTTAAAATCGAGACTGTTTATTTGGATATTTGTATGGTAAATAGTGTGATTGCATTACTTATGCTTTGGGGTATTTTAAACAGAAATGTTCAAAACACCCCCAAAGCATAACAAAGTTAAGTAAAAATGCAGCTTATTACAATATTGCTTTTATAATAATGTCCGAATTGAAATATCAAAACAAACTTCCAAAAATTTGTCTCTGATCATTGTCTTCAAATTTCGTCAATTGAATTCCAACGTATAGAATGGATAACAACAGGTCAAAATTTGATTAAAATAAGATGAATATTATGGCACGTAGTACGAATTCTGAATTTGTATAAAATGCATTTAAATGGTCGAAAACAATGCTATAATTTGAATTACAACTCTAGATTGAATTTTAATTACAACGCAGATGTGTGATTAAAACGGGAAACAAATTATGGGTTCCATTTAAGATATTTGAAAACTTATTCTAGATAGTTCAGGACGAAACTGAAGTAAGAATAATGCAATTTTCGAAAGTCATTGGGAGGAGTGTGCATTAATATGAATTAATTTTCAAATGAAGTCAAGTGAATGTTAATCTAAGGATCTGATTTGCAGTTTATTATTAAGGGAAAAATATGTAGCGTAATTACCACTACAACTATTCGATTCCCTTTCACTAGTATTTAAGGCACGTTAACTCGATTCTGTTAAGAGTTACCTTTTGATAGATGACGGTTGACATGGGTTGGTGACCTACACCCTACAAGTGGAGACTCGGACGTGACCTGAACACGCCTACCTCTACAGAAACGCTCACTTCGCCTAGTTGAATGGATGAGACACAGTAAACAGTTGACTTTCTATTCATAACTGCGACATTGTCCTTCTCACACTGTTGTTACTCTGTCCAATACCTCTTATAAGGGAGAAGACCTCAGCACAAGTTACCATATACAAGAAATTCGATTCCTTAGTAGTCCAAACGTATTGACATCTTTCGTTAAAACCCCCACTGCGCAGCTTAGTAGTCAGAAAGTTGTGACCTCTTTCTTATTTTCATCCACTGCGCAGTTTATGTAGTTATGTCGTACTACTAAATTGCTCCGGGCTGTGAGGCTTTCTCTACTAGGAGGTGCTGTTCAGTCTCGATCACACACTACGGGGGCCTGTACACACTCAACTGCAAATTGCTACACATGAGCGATCACGCCAACAACCGTGATCTTAATATATCTCCTCCGGCTTCTTGCAAAATAGCAATGAATCAACTAGTGGTATCAATTCATCGAATTCTTATCACAGCTAAAATTGTGGTGTAGCCACAATTTTATCTTTGTCGCGTACCTTTTGATAAATAACGGTTGTCATTGTCGGTTGGTAGCATACCCCCACAGATCTAAGTTTTAGTAAATTTTTATATCGCTGTTAATTTGCAGTGTTAAGTGCAATTGATTACGTTTCAAAATCTGTTTTTAAATGTTGCTTTGTTTTCAGATGAATTTATTAGAAAAAGGAACTACAAAATGGGTTATTTCTGGAGAGGATTTTGGAATGGGTTCTTCTTTTTCTCTCCTCATAGGAGAGAGAACGAAGGCCTTCGCACAGGATACCAGAAACGAGTAATCCAAACCTTTAGTAGTCGGAACGAACTTTTCCCCCAGTGCCTGGTTAGTAGTTCAAGCGTTGTGACACCTATTTCTTATTTTTCCCCACTGCGCAATTCATGCTGGTTACGTCAGATTACTAAATTGATCCGTGTGAAGGCTTTCTCTTCTAGGATTGATATCTGAAGTTGAGATGCTCTAAGTTTATCTCTGGTCCTTTCTTTTTGCGCAGAAAATTTTTCTACATTAATCGAAACCTAATTAATGTGTTTCTGTAGAAAAATGTTTCATAATGCAAATATTTTAATGATATTTAAAGTAAAATTAATTTGCAACAGAAGTGGCCCACAGATAAAATGCACATTGAATATAACGTGACGCCTACGGACTTTGGTTTGGTAACATAAATGTTAAGTTTCATTGAACATACCACCAAAAGTATTTGTAGTACTAGTATAATAATTATAAAAAATGACTGCTCTAAAGGTTAGCTACCCTTTGCTTAAATTTTAAGCTTGATTAAAGTGAATTATCAGTCTAATTAATCAAAGTTAATCTTTACCACCGAAAGGTATTTGTAGTATTCAATAATAAAAACGAATGCTGTAAAGGCTATCTTCCTTTTAAGTTTTAAGCTTGACTAAAGTGGACTAGTTGAAAAATTAATTACACTTTTTGATTTGAAAAGAAAAGAAACCGTAGTTGTAATTTACAGAAAATCATGAATTGATATTGTTCTGTATCCATATGATTTACAAAAAAATTAAAAGAAAAGTATTGAAAAAAAAACTATTGTATACTATATCATAAAAAATATTATCGAGGTTTCAGTGAGTAAACAAACAACGTTTTTTAATCTTCGTCTAAAAATTTACTGTCCTATTTATCACTTTTTATGAAACCTTTAATGAGATATTTTTAAATCATAAAAATGATTTATTCGATTAGATATTTGATTCATTCCTCAATTTTAAAACATATTTCTGGCTTAAATTTTATTACTCACTGTGCAATTTTTTATACTTATATCATTAACTGCAAAATAATGACAAAAAAATCTTTATTTATAAAGCAACTAATATTTCATTCAATGGGACTTTTTGTTTTAATACTCGATTAATATCTACAAAATTTAAAACCTTATATATTTAAACTATTAAAGAGTCTCGAACGAAAAGTAATATAAATAAGAAAAATTCTGTTTTCTTCTTGGTTAAAAAAAATTAATTCATTTTTTTCAGATACTTAAAAGTGTTTTGTATTTTGGGAATAAATTAAGTTTAAGCTTAGAAGCTTAGACTAACATTATTCATTGTTAATGGCATTACTGCATCATTTGTAAAAGTTAATGGTATTCAGCATTATCTCAAAGGTGACACTTATTTATCTCCCGAATCGGTCATTACTTTTGGCTAAGATTTCCTTTTCTTTTCAACACTCACTTATTTTAAGGCTTAAATCTTTTCCAGAACAATTTGTCACTTGAAAAGTAAGATTTAAGTAATTAAAACTGGAAATAGTACCCAACCGCCATTTTAAGTATTTTTTCTTCCTTTGTTCTTGTTTGTTCAAATTGCATTTTAGCCTTCTAGGCTTAAAATTATTCTCTTAATTTGTTGCTTAATTAAGGCGTTAACTGAGGAATTTTTGAGGTGTAAAAAAATCGGGTGGGCTTTTGTTTTCGTTTTTTGGAAAAATACATGAAAACGATATAATCTGTAATTAAATTTTTTTGTATAAATATTTTTTATAAGTCAAGAAATTACTAATTCAGAGTACGGTTTCCTTTTACGTTTGGTACGACAATTTTATAATTATTTTTTATTTTTATTTTCATAATTGTTAAAGGAACTCTTTAACGTTATTTTGTTTCATTTTCGTCTCAAAATGAAGTTTGTTTTTGAATATTTTGTGATCATTTTTGAGCAGGGAAATTACTTTGGTTACTGTAATTACTTTGAGTTCCAAGAATCAGAGATTTGTTATTATTATTTTTTTAAATTTGGATTAAGAGTGATTCAAGATTTTTCCTATTGGGTATCTCGGATTTCCCATCTGGGATCTTATGTTTTTCTTTATCATACGAAAAACTGTTTCTGTTTTGGAGCAATTTAGTAACTTACGGTGCTTGTGCTATAATTGTTAAATGAGCCCGTTTAACATTATTTTATTTTCGTCTCGAAATAAAGTTTGTGATTGAATATTTTGTGATCATTTTTGAGCATGGAAATTTATTTTGCATATTATAATGATTTTACTTTGAATTATAAAAATCAAAAAATATATATATTTATTTAGATTTTAGAACTTTATTATGATTACGATTTAACAGGACTAGCCCCTGTGCTTATAAACTTTAAATTAGTTAATAATATTTCCATTGGTTACTGTACTCCAATGATATTTTTATAACTATGGATGGGATTTTATCCTATATCTAAGGATCTTCAAGCTTTCTCTTTATGTTTATAAGAATTTGGACGCATTTAATTAATAGTGATCGTCTACCCTTTGATAAATAATTATGGAATTTATTCTTCATTGGCAGAGAATTTAATTTTCTTTCCAATTACTATGTCAGAATTCCAATTACTACCCAATTCCAATTACTAATTACTATTCCAATTGGAAATTACTATGTCAGAATTCCAAAGTAATTTCCAATTACTATGCCTAATTACTAAAGATCACAATGTTTGATTCCTTATTGGATTTCAGAACAAAAGCGGGTTTTTATTAACTATACCGAAAAAACATTTTTAGCTTTTTAAAAGAGCATGCAGCACTAAAATCAAAAAAGAAACAATTCTTCTTTATTGCACCACAGCC